ACACACTCTTTTACACCTCTCTCATATGGAGGGGGGTCCACGATTATTTTATTATGTGTGGGCCCCCGGCATGTGAGATGAGTGTAAAAAATTGTGTAAAAGATTGTGTACACTTAGCATTATTCTAAAAATAAATGCAATTAAACATACTCTTAGTGTGTGTGTGTGTGTGTGTGTGTGTGTGTGTCAAAAATTATAATTTATTATAATTAGTGGATCTCAAAAAATGTCTAATTAAAAAGTAGGTAAAAATTGTGGATCTTGGAAAATGTATTGATAAAATTGAATTTAACCAAATTATAAGCAATTATACTTTTTTTTTTTAATTATTTTTTCTTTGAGTAATACATTTATAAGCAGTGCGTAAAAAATAGCAGATTATACCATAAGCAGCTTTCACGATTTCTAATAAAATTATTACACATTTTAAATTAACCTTTTGTAATTACAGGTTAAATAAATATTGATATACTTCTTATATCAATCGTGCTACATGTACATCTTATTTGACATTATTTTTTGTACTGTGTCACGTGTCGTCATATTATTGGACAGTTTTTAAAAACACACACTTTCCCGCCCTACAATTTTTGAATTCCAACGCAATATCAACAAAAATGTATACTATGAAATGTATACTTAGCATAATTCTTCTTATATTCATCGTGCATAAAATCGATCTATTAGGTACCATAGTGGGGTGCGAACAAAAGAGTCTAAGAAAGAAAATTAAAAGAACGTTATTCTTTCATGTCTCCCACAACCTCGTCATTTCCGAGGAAATTGCCACTTTGTTTATCTCCACTTGCACATTGAAACATAATTTAAGACCCTGTTTGGGAGAGATTAAATTTTTCTACAGTAGATCAATTCTCATTTTCAACCACACATTCTTCAATAAAATAATATTTTCCATCACATCAATAACTTTTTCTTCTTTTTCAACCACACATCTCCCATCATATCACTATTCAAAATCAATTCTTCCCCCAAAAATCTCTCCCAAACAAGCTCTAAACATTAAAAGTACAGGGGTCTCTGCAAAAATTTTCTTCGAACATTCCCATTAAATTTTTAATTTTATACGATGATTTCACGAGATTGTGCAACGAACAAAATGATAAAAAGGGAACCGTGCTGCACTGTCAGGCCTGTAATGTGAGAGCTTTTGCTCTAGAGCAGGTTAATCCATAAAAAAAGGAACCGTATCATTGCTTGGTTCGAGATTTATTCGAAATAGACTTTAATTTTTTCCTTTTTTGAATTTTGAATTATATGACAGTAGATCTTGTAATAAGTCAAACAAAATGATTTATATAACAGAGCACGTGTTTATTGTAATTAATTATACACATGTGCTTCTAGAATTCTAGACTACATGTCAATTTTTAATTATTTTTCTTTGTACAAGTGTATTGAATTTTCTTCGCTTGGTATTGGAAGGCTGTGAATAACAAAAAAGCTACTTGTACAAAAAAAATTTGACAAAAAAGTTGACATACTTTCACATGATGTTGGCCCCCACATGTATAAAAAATTGGAAAAAAAAAAATGTGAGGCCCCCCCTGACGTGAGGGGCCTGACTCAGGGTGTTTGTCACCCTGATCCGGTACAAACAGCACTTCTCTGTGAATAAAGGGTCAGATGACCAAAAATACTCTTTCGAAGAATTGATGTGCTATTTTTTGAATGGTGAATTTTTGAAAAATGTGTGGTTAAAATGTAAAAAAAAAAAAAATTGAGTTGACGTTTAAAATATTTTAGACATATTATTTGTACGACCAATGGTTGACACACAAGTTGACACACACTTAAAATGGGGGGTCCACTTTTTTTTTGAATTTTTTAAACATGCGGACCCCACATGCACGTGAGAAATTGTCAACCTCTCATGAACAAATAGACTTATTCAATATTTTATTGTGTGAATGTGCAGTTGAAAATGAGTGTGTAGAAAAAAAAATTGAATCTTGCTAACTTCAAGATTTACATAAGTGAATTCATAATGTCAGAGAACGTTTTACCATTCGTCAATTTGAAATACAATTAAATTTCTTCATTCAATCTTTTCCTTTCACATCATTTTCGATCATTGTTTATGTACCATTTTGATGTACAAGTAAATTTATCCAAAATTTTTTTGAAAGAATGAGAGACAAATAGAGGCAAAGGTATGCGGATCTATTTGGCAGGTTGTGACAAAATAGATATTGAGAAAATATTTTGTTGGGAATACACTGTTCAAAGGTTACGTAAATGATGCCTTTGACAAAGGCTGGGAATAAATATAAACATTTGGGGAAAAAATGTCAGAAGTGGGATTTGAACCCACGCCCTCTCACGAGGACCAGAACTTGAGTCTGGCGCCTTAGACCACTCGGCCATCCTGACTATGGATATCTAAACAGTAATTTTAATAATTGTCTCTAACATTTTCGTTGTCAGTAGTCCATTAAATAGCACAGACCGTCCCTAATCTATTTGTTTTGGTTCGCAGTGTCCTTTTTTTATGAAAGAAAGTCAATACGTCCTTTAAATTAAGTAAAAATTGCAATTGGATCCCTAACCTTTGAAAAAAAGCACAATATACAAATTATGCTTTCTTTATTTTATTTATCAAATTATAATGGAACGCCAAATTACAATATGAGTATTGATAAGGACAATCATATTATAAGAGTCATGCTAATTTTCCATAACTGTGTAAATAACTATTTACAAATAGATGACGTGGAAGAGAGAAGAAAGAAAAGAAAAGTAATTCAGTTATTATAATTTACCTAATGAATTACCGAATCGACAAGTGGCGACCCCCTATTCAGTAAAAGATTAGGTAAATTATGTACAAATAGCATTGCTCGTATAGTGTTGTTGAATACACCATTTTCCGATGCCTGCCCTAATAGGCAATCAATTAACTTTGTCGAAAACATAGAAGAGATGGAGGAGCAACCATATACTAAGGAGGAATATAAAGATGGTGAAGATACTGCAGGAGATGATGGAGAAACAATCACTTGTGCTGCGTGACGTCTTCTTTTGGTTCCAATGAAATAAGACGATACTTAACTGCACTAGATTTTTCGCACGGTTAATAGAAAAAGTATGCAACGACATCATCGACAGCGGCAACAGTGAAAATGATCTCCCAAAGCATCTTTGAAGGCATTAAATTTGAAGATTGAAAAGACACCCGACCATTATAATATTGAATGGATCAAGATTTCATTCGCTAATTGGGAAGCACTATAGGGATGTGGTCATACCAAACAATTCGATATATACACTACTTATAAAGGCCGGACACACAGGTGTTTTGATGGTACAATAAGAAAATAACCTTGTCGCCTCAACCAAAGCAATTTGAAGATACCATACTAGTGTTACTAAAAGTGAATGGTAAGTCTTCACTAGTAATAAGCAAATTTTGTAATGACACTGGTGGTAAAAGGCTCAACTGAAGAGACGATTGCAATTCTAGACTAGGTTCGCAGAGCCGAAATAGAATTTTGAATAACACTATTTGTACATCATCATTTACGGATTGGTTAGGTGGGAAAAAGGAAGTGGAGGAGCTTTAGTTTTTTTAGTTGGTTGAGAAAATTTTTATTCAATCATAACTCGTCACATCATCTATTGATAAATAAATAAATAAATAAATATGTAATTTATGATGCACATGTAGGAAAGCAGTCGATTTTTTCGTTGTATCACCTGTAAAGATATCGTTTATGTGAAATATTCAACATCACATTAAATTAGTACAAAATCCTTGTGCTGTTCATGCTTCGCTTATTCCAGATGATGATGGAGGAAAATCAGAGAATGCGTATACGACGGTGCAATCAACAACATTACTGTCGAATTTCCATTTTTTTTAGTGAATTTGCTCTTCTTTTGCTCGTCGATCTACAAACTTCATTCTAGCACATGGGCTACACGCGCGAAGGTCCAAGTAGCAAGCTACCTTGATGGGCCTCCCCCTTGATGAATAAATTTTAAAGCCGATGGGCCACCATTGGCCCGAACAAATTTTTGAACTAGAATTGGTGGGGTGCGCCAGGCCCGTGCAGTAGTGCAACGCATGGGCGACGCGCGAAGGTCCAGGTAGCAAGCTACCTTGGTGGACCTTCCCCCTTAAAAAATAAATTTAATATCGTGTGGGCCGATGGCCCACATATCAGATATTAAACTGATAAGAACAGATACTACACTTGATCTTAGCCAAAAGGCCGAGAAAGGTATGCTTATTTCTGTTACGGCCCAACTCTTTTATAATACTCTGCTATCGCTCAGGTTTCCTAATGATTCGATGTGGGATGGAAACAAGCGCCCATGATCTAATAATTGGTTAGATAAAGCATTGAAAATGGTGGATCAAATGACTGAACATGCTTGTGTAATCCTAACTATATCGCGATGGGAATCCTTATTGAATGGCTTTCTGCAGTCAGTAAAACAGAAAATTTGTGGGTCGTTTTGCAAGGTTACGAGGTTTCTGCTTCATTTGACATGGAAAGAGACCAAGACTCAATGTTCTTACGACCAATTTGAAGGGGCGTTGTCGAAATGTCCTGCTCAATTCTCTGTCACAGCAATTTACAGCAGCGGCATACTGGTCGTGAGAAACACATGGAGTCGAACATTAAATGGATGTGGTCTTCGTGTTTCGTTTTTTAATTTTTAGTTTTGAATTCATTTTGAGTTTTGTGTTTTGAGTATCCATCTTGAGATTGTTGAAAACGCATTCTTTTTGTGATTTTGAAAAGTTGTTTTCAAAAATAAAAAAAATTAAGTTTTGGCTTGATTTTAATTGAAAACAGCCAAAACGACTTTTTTGACGTTTTCTGTTTTCTTTGTAAATTTAAACTCATTTCGAAAAATAGGTAAGTAAACGTGTTTTTTATGTTTTCGAAAACTGAAAATTGAAAATGGTCTGAAAACAGTAAAGAGAGCAAACCCTAATATTCATCTCTCGTTCATAGAAATTTTTTCGATATTGCCCGAACTCTCAATTCATTAGTTGTAGAGTGATTCGTGTCCCCACAAACAGTCAGTTCTCTGCAAAATGATTGGGAACATCTAGATTGATTAACATAATCATTTATACTAATACCTGCATCACCTGCAAAGATGAACATAAACTACAAGGAATGTAAAAGAGATATTAACCAATTGTCCATACCCCACTACAACCTCGTTCATCTTACTGTAAAGATCGATCCATAATCGAGAAATAAAGCAACAATATAATTGAGCGTCGAACGTCTAACAAATATTAAATAAGGTTCAAGAAACTCTCTCTATTTTGTGTGTAAGTTACTCAGTAAAATGTTTAAGATCATACAAACATGCTCTAGAATATGTTTGAGATTTGTATGGCAGAAATGCAAGAACATAGTGATTTCAAGATTCTGTGCTACTCTTAACAGGCAAAAACGCTATGTTTATAAATTAAAGAAAGGCATATAATTTCATTGCCTTTTTTGTCACGTGCTATATATGCCACATGCCTTGTTAGTCTTTGTCGAGCCGTGATGGCTTGTATATGCGATGCACCACGTTCAGCTTTCTCCATTGTCCCAAATTGGGGTGTAATTGAGCTACTTGTATTACACATTTGTTGACGGTAAAATCAAGGATCAAAATGTATGACACATCATCATTTGTCAACAAAAGTGTGAACAATTTCCGTACAAGTAGCATTGTGGCGGTACCTATTGCCCGACCAAGTTTCTATTTCATTTAGAAAAATGTTATTTAGCACCACTAATGTTAAGCACTTGTGTCTATGTGGCATGCAATTGTCTTTAATTAATAAATCCCCATATAATATATAAAAGAGCAAAGTTTGTTATTATTCATAAGGCATCATCTTTGTGTCATGTTAATGTCATATATACTAATTTTACATTTTTCATTTTTTCACCTCAAGCACTACGTAGTTTTCTTCTCACAAGACATGGTTTCTCTATTTCTCCACACAAGCTTACATACCTCTTTACTCCTATATTTACATAAACATTCAAGACTTGTTATTTCTTCTTCTCTCTTTACTATTTGTTGTTTAATTTCGTCTCTCTTTTCTAATTGGATTTTCTTAGATCTTATTTTCCCCTCTTTTGTTTTCTCTCTCAACTTCTTTGATTCTTTTTCACTTTCTCTCAATCGTTGTTTTTACTGTCCATTTGAAATCAAATCATAGATAACAAAATCACAGATTATGTTCACAATTTGTTCTTTTCTACGATTAAGTCATCTTGTATTCCATTTAGTAAACATAATTAAAGGAGTTATTATGTTAATAGATTTTTTTTTCAAAATAGGTCATCTTTCTACGAGTTTTGTAAATGGTATTAAATGGAATCAATATATATTGCTTTCTCATTGAATTAATAATTCTTGTTACTAGATAAATGTTTCTTTCTGTGTGTTGAGAAATATTATTGCTTGATGAATTAATGATTCTTGCTATTAGATAAATGTCTCTTTCTGTGTGTTGAGAAATATTAATGCTCGATCTTCTCTTCAACGTATTTAACTAAAAAAATGAAAGGATGTGCTCTAAAATTAAATGCATCACTCTCGAACTCATCATTAATACCAATTGGTAGGCCCATAAGTTCTATACTTGTCAGGAGACGGAAAGGTAATTTATGCTTACCCAACTCAAGTTTCTTACCTTCTACATTGTGGGGTTTGGTGAATAATTTATAAGCCAAATTCCTATTGCAGTTGGCGGCGTTGGACTTGATAGGCTGTACAGCTTTTGATGTATTTGTCATGATTGACGTAGGAAATCAAATTTCTTCTTTGGTAGCTAGTTATCGAATCTATTATGGTGGGGGAAATGCTAACTATATGGCCAAACAAACGTCGAGTTGTGAAAAGAATTTCCATTTTTACTTTTTTTTTTTTACCGTCTATCACTCTACCTTCTCTATTGACTTAAAAAATAATTTTATCGTTGTGGAAAATATTTTTGAATAATACTTTATTTGCTACAAGTTTTTTATTGTATGTGCAAACCTTAATCTCAATGCTGCATTTGAGGTGAATCCTATTTTCTTTTTCTTTTTTTATTATTATTATTTATTTATTTTATGTTTTCTTTTTTCTTTTTTTTTTTTTGTTCCCGATGTACCTCTAGGTCTGAATTTGGTTTTATCTATAGTATCTATCGTTCTATTAAGCCTCTGTTTGAGCCACATTCATTCTCATTCTTCTACTCATTTTCAACCACACATTCTTCAATAAAATAATATTTTACATCACATCATTAACTTTTCCTCATTTTTCAACCACGCATCCTCTATTAATCTACTATTTCAAAATACATTCTTCCAAAATAATGTAGCTTAAACACACCCTAAATTTGTTTATAATGTGTCTAGGGTTGTAAAACGACTGAGCTAGTTGAACTTTACTTGAGATTAGATTATCCATGACTTGTTCAAGCTTATCTTATCATATAAAGGAGTTAAGTTAATAAATGATTGATAAATGACGTAACATGCAAATAACAAAATTAATCAAACTAAACTCATTTTTAACTCTGCAAAATAACTTGTTTGAAATTGGTTTAGAAATAAACAAGTCAATCTTATGCTGCACTAAATTCTCAGTCAGCCAACACTAAGTTGGATCAATTAATTTGTGCTTCTATACATGTCAGGATTAGATGTTTTGTTTATTTATGTTTCACTTTTGTTGATAATTATCTCTTTTATGATGGATTTTTCAAAATTAATTATGGCTTACGTTTTCCTCCTTTGTCCTTTTTTTGTTAGTAATTTTTTCATATTTTCTTTGTTACCTTTAGGTTGAGTCGGTGTTGGACAAGAAAAATTTTACATTGGAATAGCTTCTAGATGAAGAAGAGATAATCCAAGAATGCAAATTATTAAATAGTCACCTCATAAATTTGTGCGGTGTAACGAGAGGAAAGTAATTTCTCTACTTTATATTCATCACCTCTTAGGTATATATACAACTTACAAATCCTATATTTGGAATGAAACTAATTACATCAAATCCCTATAATTCAGGATATATATTTGTTTCCTATTCTAGGAATATATTCTGTAACACTCCCCCTCAAACTGGGGCATAGATGTTTATCATGCCCAGCTTGTTACACAGATAATCAACCCGAACCCCATTTAAAGCCTTTGTGAATATGTCTCCCAATTGTTCTCCTGTTTTCACATACCCAGTAGAAATCAAACCTTGCTGAATCTTCTCTCGAACGAAATGACAATCAATCTCAATGTGTTTAGTTCGTTCATGAAAGACTGAATTAGATGTAATATGAAGTGCAGCTTGGTTATCACACCATAACTTGGCCGGTATTGAAACCTTGAAGCCCAATTCAGTGAGGAGCTGATGTATCCACATTATTTCACATACAGACTTAGCCATAGCCCTATATTCTGATTCAGCACTCGAACGTGAAACCACATTCTGCTTCTTGCTTTTCCATGAAACCAAATTTCCTTCAACAAATACACAATAGCTGGAAGTAGATCTTCGATCTTCTTTGGATCCTGCCCAGTCAG